CGAAGGAGCTGATTGTCCCCTGGAAGGAAATTCTATTGTCATTAAAGGGACCTGCTTTTCCTGTAGTTTTCTCTTCAAAAAAATTAAATGGTGGAGCTGCTCTGGGTTTTACGCTATAGGGAGAGATGCTCCTTTGGTTAAATTTAGCCCTGCTAATTGCTCCTTCCATACATGGTTGCTTTTCAGTAGCAGGTGCTCCAGCTTTGGCGCACTGAGGCTGTGCTCACCAGATCTCCCTCCCATGATCGCAACAATCTCAGACAGGAAACTGATTCCTCCAAGGAGGCCTCGTCCCAATGTGCTGCAGCTCTCTGACCACTAGATGTGACTCTTCAGAGGGGACATGGGCCCCTTGGCTTCTCTTGCCGTGCAACCCTCTAGGTTAAGGAATAGTCGCAGAAAATGAGATGAGCGAGTAGTCAAGAAGGTGCTGTGTTAGTGGACCAGCAGCACATAGGGATAGGAGAGCTGCAAGCTTCTGAGTCTCCTTTGGGATCTTCAAAGTCGGTCAGAGCAAGCAGTGTAATAAATAATAGACGGAGCAGATACGTATTTCCACCTATTGCTTCCATAAGCTCCATCTGATGGAAACATTCTGTATTTCATGGAACAGGGCCAGGTGTTTAAAAGGATCAGGCTGTAACAAAAGGGGCCACCTTCACCTCCTGCCTAATGTGACCGTTTCTACTGTGCTTTTTATGCTCCTGCAGCTTGAAGGAATGAGAGAAATGGCAGGTCTCTGTGAATCGCATTAAGTCCTCTTGGATTTTGTGGCCCAATTACAGAGTACATTTAAGGTTCTGAAATTTCACTCTGGGCAAAATCCGGCAGCAGCTTCTGGACACCAGTCCTTGCAGAACGGGGCAGAATACCCAGGCTGTAAATTGCTGCCAGACACAAGAGGAACAAACTCCCTGCTGGAGTTTACCTATGTAGTCAGTTTCATAGTCCTGGCTATCAAATATTAGCTGCAGGGGCCATAAAAGCATAACATTTCAAAGCAACATGGTAAAACCTCATGGCAAATAATAAAAAATAGATTTAAATCTTGATTAAAGTAGTTTATAAATTCTTAAATAACATAAAATGCTGTTGCTCACCTCTAAAGCTCAATCAACCCTAAAGATTTACAACAAGGTGGAGAAGCTGATGATCCTTTCCCTTGGCAGAGAGTTCCAGAGCCTACAATTGGAGAGTCTGGCAGATGCAACCATGAACTGACCCTTCTCAAGTTCACGTACAAGAATGGATCCATTCTTGAACTTGGTGTTTGAAACGCACACGCACACACAGACCCCTTTTTTTCTCCAGCTAATGAAGGGATAGTGTTTTAGTGTTGTCCTAACACCTTTTTAAAGGCTGACTTAATAGCATAGTGTGCTTCACACTTGCCCAAGCAATTTCAGGGCAGGGCTGATCAGATTTAACCTGCTTGATTGGGAGACCCTTCAAGACTGAGGTCTTCAGGGATATTGGCTGCGCTTAGAAACATGAACGTAGGCCGTTAGTGGAGACAAAGAGCAATTTGTAAGGCTGGTGCTGCCCTTCTCCGGACCTCTATTGGGTGTGGGGAGAGTATCCCAAATGTTGATGGCTTCAAATGGGCCTGTGCTGGAATCTGGAGTGGGGAAATTCAAAGGGCAAAAGGTCTTCCCTCTGCACTCACAGAGGATTGCTTTCAGCAGTTGGAGGGAATTATTGTTCCACAATTATTTGCTGGGCTTAAAACCGGTGACCAGCCTGCTGGCTGCTCTTCCTGATGCCAGGGCCAAGGCTTGGCAGGACTCAAGGAAAGGTCTGGGTCCCCTGAGGAAGTTAAGTTCCCATCTGCCTAAATGTTTGGGAGCAAATTGGCTTCCCTAGTAGGCCACGTCAACTTTGTTGACTTCACTGGTTGGTGATGGGGATTATGTACCCTTGAAGACTGGACATCAGAAGCATCCGTGGGATTAACTAGAGTTTGTCCAATAACCCCCACTGGCGGAGGTCACACAAGACTCTGAGCAGAAAGCAGGCAAACCACATTATGGGAGTGACGCAATGGGTGAGCCCAGGGTCAGGGTTTAAAGAAGCGAATAAGCATTTCCGAAGGAAAGCCTGTTTCCCAAATACATTAATAGTTATCCCTGCCCTCAGTGAAACTGATTGCGGTAGCTAAGCTGTAATAAATACATGTCACAGAACTCTTCCGGTGCTTTCACTGCAACCAGCTAACATGAGCAGCTTTCGGGAAGAGTTGTGTGTGGCATCATCTTTTCTGCCACTAATTCCAAGAAGGGGAATATTTTGTGCAGGTCCAAAGGCCGTTTCTTCCAATGCTTATTCTGCATTTTCCAAGACTGAATGTGGCACAGAATATGGGTGTTAAACTAACCCCAAATTATGGGCCTCATCAAGCTCCGCTCCAACTGCATTAACGTGTCCTGCCAGCCTGGATGTTGGTCTGCTCGGCATGGGGAGGGTTCTGTACCTGGATCCTGACGTGGCTTGGCATAACATGGGCATTTGTCCAAGGTTCTGTATGGGACGGTGGACATGCCATGTTACAGACCAGTATTTTAATAAAGCAGTCCAGATTGAACACAGGCCTCCTTGGTTGAAGAGACAGGGAGCAAATCCTTCTCCAGGTGCCTTGACAAAAAATCCCGCCAAGGAACAGCCTATCTAGCAACTCGGTAGTGGTTCCGCTGGATTCCCAGACCACCACGTTCAGCTCTTGCCGGCCTGCCCCACTCTGAAGCCCAGCCGGCCAGTGGCTGAGGATGACAGCTGTGGCGACAGCGAGGAATCCCGAGGAGCCTGGAGCCAGTGCTGGCGGCAGTGCGCAAGGCCCCTTACCTCGCCAGCTGTGCCAGGAGGAGCTTTTTGCAGCAGCCCTTGTCCAAGTCAGAGGGCGGGGGCTGTCCGTCCACTCGTTGCTGCCCTGCCAAGCAGCCGCAGCCAGTGGAGCGCCAGTTCGTCTGGGCCTCTAGCAGGCAAAGGGACACCCCCCACCCCATCTTGAGTGAGAAGAACGTAACACATTGCATCACAGCAGGCACCCAACTTGGGCTCGCTGTGGACCAAGAGCAGGCTGTGAGAGCATTTGGGCGCCAGACAATCTGTGGCCAGTCGCAAACCAGACTGCTGGTAAATTGGCCAGAAGCCGCACCAGGGCATCTCAGACTAGGAGAGAAGAGCGTTGAACCACGTGGTAATGGCACTGCAAGGAGCTGGTACACGTTTCAGGTTCCACTCAGTGCAGCTACCTTTCCACAGTCGCTCAATCTCCCGTGTGTCTCTGCCAGAAACCGACAAGTTGGGGTTTACTTGTCAGATGATCTGCGATGGTTGAACCCTTAAAAGTCTGCTCACTCGCTTAAGAAACCTGAACTGGAACTTGCAATTATGAAAGGTTTGGGGAGCTCCACACGGGTTTCGTGTAAGCCGTGATGACATCGTGTTCATGACCCCATTGGGCAGTCCGTCACGTGTCCCCCCCAGGGTGCTGATGATCTGCCTTGGGAAGAGCCCCACGCGAGGCGGTTTCGCCACCCAGAGCCTGAGGTGGCAGCGGTTAGTTCAGCTGGATGAGCAAGCATGGGATGGTCAGCTAGGTGGTGGTATAGTTAAAATGGTGATTATGCACTGGGCTACTGGGATCCGGATTAGTTCCTGCGGGTTAATGAGCTCCGATTAAGTGGCGCAGAAGCATCCTTTCACAATGGAAAGGAACTGAAGCGCATCAGAGAAAGAGTCTGGGCTCAGAGGGGCCACACAATGTGAAAGGACATGGTTGCAACCAGCTGGTTGGGAGAATGAGCCAGGGTTATGTGGACACCTGCCAGCCTCTCCTCCAAGAGGGGAGGAACAGGTACGCTCCAATGTTTCCTGCAAAGAAGGGTGAAGGCATGGTTGTAACGAATCCTCTGGAAATATGGCAGTAATAATGAACCTGGGAAGATGAATCCGGAAGGACTAGCCTGAAGCTTTAGAATGGCACGAGCTGCTGCTGGACTTCAGTCCCCCCTTGCAAAGGAAACTCACTTCCAGGAAAGCTGCCACGATGTTTCTCCATCGAATAGTGAAGGGTCCTGGGCATCCCATTTTTTTCTCGGCTTGGGACTGGATCCTGCAGGCCCTAAGAAGAGCTGGCAGGGCCAGGACAGGAAGCCTTCTGGAAGAGACCCTCTGCTGGACTCCCCAGCCCGGCGCCCCTTCAAGGCCTCCCCCAGCCACACTGCAAAGGACGCAGAAGCCACGCTGTCCCAGAGGCAGCTCTGGAGGAAAGTGGAGGGTGCTGGAGCTCAGCAGGGGGGCTGCCCCCCAGCCCTGCCAGTTCTGGAAAGAGCCCCCCCTTCTCCAGCCTCTGTCGGCCCAAGCTGGAGCCCACGCTACGCAAAAAACGGCCGTACGATACCATCCAGCGTTGTGCTATATTTGGGCTCTGAGTCATACACACACCAGAGTACGGCTAATTGTAGGACCCTGAGGTGCAATTAAGCCAACGCCAGCCACAATGTCAAAGCCAGCAGATTCAAGGGGGGGTGACTCAGTTAGCATAGCAGCATCTCCCCCCCCCTGGGAGGAATCTTAGGGAGGGGCAAGCAGGTATGTGGCTCACGTGCCTCCAATGCTTCTGATAGAGAAGATATGAGCAGGGAAGAGAAGCTCCAAATTGGAGACCGGAGTATCTCCTCCAGATGCAAATGTTGTTCAACAGCCCAACGGTTCCCTGACCCCCAAGGGGAGTGCCTGGATGGCGGTGCCCGAGGGCAGGAGGACGCCTGACCACCTCTTCACCCTGCTTCTCAAGGCCGTGGCTCTTCCCAGCAGGGATCAACCCTGCAGGAGCAGCCAGGTTTTCCCTCATTAAGAGCCCAGCAAGCAGAACCGGAGAGGAAACCGTGGGGGGGGGCACCCAGAGCCCACTTCAGCACCGATCTCAAAATGGGGAAAGGCGAAGAGCCAAATCTTGCCCTCCCCTGTCCCTGCCCACTCTGAAAAATCAAGATACGTTCTGGAAAGTATGCTCTGTGTATTTCTTTTCAGGACATCTGTGATACAGGGTTCATCTGGTATAAATAAAGTATAAAATCTTACAAGTTGTTTTTTTGTCATTATTTTAACAAAAATACTAAAAACTTATTAAAAGCTGAAATCAAAGTGGGGTGGGAGACTCTAGCAATCACACAGGATTTGGAAACACTGGTAGAAAGTGGAGATTAAAAACACTCATTCGGCATGATAAAACACTCCCAGCCCTGGACAGGGGGTGCTGCTGCACAGCCAGAGCCTGGGGGACGGGGGCTGTCCTCCCCCTGACCTTGGAGAAAGACCCTTCCAAGTCCACCGTGAAGTTGCTTCTTCCCTCGTGGGGCCTCAATACCGTCCAAACGGGTTGTTGTTCTGTTGGGGCTGTGTATCTGTTGAGGCCAAACACAGAGTTAGGTGTTGGGAAAGTGACATCAGGGAGGGAGTGCAACGGGTTCAGCCTGGGCACCGCAGCTGAGACGTCGGTATTTGGGAGGGAAGCTGGGCTGGATTTGGGGGAAGTCGGGCAAGGCGCCAGGGACACTCCTGTGGGCAGGGCACTCTCTGTGACTGCTCTGCTGTGCAGACCAGGACACGACCGGGCAGCCTTTCACAAAGCAGCCAAGCAGGTCACCAGCTGCCCTGCGCGTGGTCCGTGGGCGAGTTCTGCACCTTCACTATGGCCGCCTGCACCCCTACCTAGCCAAACCTGTGGCACGGGGCTCTTGCCTGCCCAGAGACCACAGGAACCACAACAGGAGCAGCCCCAATTCCAACTCTCCTGCCCCCCTCCTCTCTCGTCTGGCCTGTTCTGCCCAGGCAGAGCGAGCCCAACTCCTGGGCTGCTCCACACCCCAGACACCCAAGCAAGTCCCGCCTGAGAGGCCCCCTCCTCTGGTAGCTCATCTGAACGTGCCCGGCCTCTCCAGAGCACCACAGCGCACAGGGGTAGCCAGGTGGGCGCCCTGCATTCAGCGCTTCCCTGCAGGGCCTCTGCTCCTCAGCGCCGCTTCCCCAGAGTCGGGTGCTGCGGCTGCTCCCTGCTCTACTCAGCCTGGTGGGGAAAACAAGGCCTGGCAGGCAGGGACTGACAAGGAGCCGGCTGTCTCCGGCCACACCTGCAGCCGAGAACCTTCGAGGGCCCCTGGATTCGCCCTCCCATGAAACCTTCAATCCTCGCTGAGGACCACCCTGTGTAGGTGCACTTGGGAAAGCCAGAAGCGGGGAGGACCCCCGAGAACCCACGCGGGCTTCCAATAAGGGGGGCCCAGAAGGTTGGAGTCTCAGGGCCCAGCCTTACTGGAGAGCTGCTGCTGGAGCTGCCGGACCAAGGCCGCCGTCTGCTGCTGCTGCTGCGTCTGCTGAAGGCCCTGCCGCTGGAACTGCGCAGAGGGAGAGCAGGCGTTACCAGGGCCGTGGGGGGGAGGCTGCTGGCTGCCCCAGGAAAGGCCCTCACTTACAAGGGGCTGCTGAGGCGTCAGGCCTTGCATCCCCAGTCCCGGCGGCTGGCCCTGGGCCTGGGGCTGGGGGACAGGTGGTACCGGGGGTGGCTGCTGGGGGGGCGGCTGCGGCTGTTGGGGCTTCGGGTGTGGTGGGGGGGGCGGGTGCCGGTTTCTTTGTGCAAAAAGAGAGCGGAGGGGGGGGGGGGCGAA